GCTTTCTTCTTCATAAATTCGAAAACCTCGAGCCATTCAGTCAGCTCATTTTGCGTCTCAGCCTGCAGCAACAAGCTCTGGCTCTTCGTCTTGACCTCGAAGCAGAAACGCCGGTCCTCGCTAACAGCTGGCCGTGCATTACACAGCAAAACACCAATCTCGTCACCCTGAACGACACCCAGAGGTCCCGGGATAAGCCATCCAAAAACCTTGTCTCGGCAATAGTACCACCGCCTGACCCAGTTGTGTCTCGCCGGTTTTCCGGACAGAGTCCTCAGGAACAGCCAACCCTGCTTCTCAGAGATAATTGCCTGGCTGTCCTTGGGCTGTAGACTGACAGGACCGCGAGAGCCGAGGAAGGGGACGGTCGAAGTGCTGTAGTCCTCCAACTCACGCGACGGCTTGCAGCCTGTCATTGCGTTCTCACCCAGGTCCCGCCGCGCGATCTGAAGTTCGCGTCTGAAGATGCCCTCGGACGTTTCCATCTCCTTTGCCCAACCCCGTACTCGCTCCATCTCCTGTTCAAAACGGGTCGCACTGGTTGCGGCGTCACGGCCCTTCTTCATCTCCTTCCAGGCTTCATTTGATACCTTGACCAGTAGCTTGTCCATAGTAAACCGCACCTGGGGAGCGAGCTGGCAGTAGTCCATCGATGCCTGGAGATAGGCTTTCCTTGTTTCATATACGGAGAATGCGTCCTCTCGCAGGGCAGAGGGCTCCTTCGTCTTGGATTGGGAGACGTATCGGGCCAAGGTGGAATCGAACGCCCTCTGCGCCTGCTCCAGGACCTTCCGTATCTCCTTGAAGTTGCGCATGTCCCCCATTAGAAACCCCCGGACGGGCTCAACAACGGAGCTCTCCATCCTCTTCATGCTACTCAGAAGCTGCATCCAGCACTCGCGGGAGCCATCGCCGACTCGTTTCAAGGCAAGGAAGGTGTAGTCGTTATCGATGACGCCATCAGTCGACGGGGTGGTCTTGGCGAGGTATGTGTTGATCGTCTCTTCGAGGGCGAGAATATCGTGCACCAGCTTGGATGTCGATGACACATATCCGTTTAGCCACTTCTCTACTGCGTCAATCTGTTCGGCGAAGTGGGCGGCCGTGGCGCGAAAGGTCGGGGAGTCGAGGACAGCTTCGTGCAGGCCAACGGCGACGGTATGATGGGTCGACTTGACGGTCGGTGCCGCGGCACTGGTGGAGGCTTCAGCCATGTTCGTTGGCGGCTGATCCCAGTGTGAATGCAAGCAGATATCAGAGTATTTGAGCAGTCATCCGTGTCGTGGCCAGCTCGGCGACGCTGGTCGGTGAGTGCTGTCGCCAGAGTCGCATAGGCGTGAAAGTAAGGGTGTGTTTATACTGGGTATCCTCCTGTAATTAAGTAATATACAGCTCTAGGGACGTCACTAGACAGAAATCGATGGATGCAAAAGATAGGAGTACGTCGATAATCAAAAGATAGGTTTTGGATGGTGGGTAGGACGTATGTACGGTTCGCCCTGCCTCCTAATGTAAGATAAGCCAGGTTGTTGAGAAGGTGGTATGGGTTGTTTGCTCTCAATGTGTTGGACCCATTGGATTGGAGCGACTTACGTAGGGGCGCTGCAGCATGCTTGCTCTGAACTGTGCCGTAGGGGTCTGGATGGGGTTGTGCTTGCATGGGGCTCCATTCAGTAGGGGCTGAGGTGGGCGCATAATTAGGAGGTATGAACATGTCGCCCCTACATAGTGCGGTGTAGCAAGGTAATAATAGCAGCAATGCGCTTCAACTTCAGACGTTACCCGACTGCATCATTGCAACAAAGAAGCTCTACTTGCATTGAGAGTCGATTTTGCCTCCAAGTCTGGGTGGGTAAGTAACAGTAACTAGAATCACGGAGAGAGATGCACGTTTGTGCGGACGACCTCTTTATTGGTAGCTAGCTATTTGCTTTATTGATACGCAGGGGGTCACGCATTCGCAACACTACAAGGAATGCCCACCCTGAAACTACTTCATCTTGGGGTTGACCTTTTTACACATGGCGGTTGCAGAGTCGGGAAGTGGTGATATTGGCAAACCGACTCTGCAATGCTCATGATCCGTGCCATTCTGGGGTAACTTTCTCGGCGGCGCCTACGAGTCTTTGTGAGCAAACGGTCCGGGGCAATTTGGAAGCGAACAGGCGCGCTTACCTTCATCATCCACCGTTTGTCAACTCAAGTCGCCGTCATTGTTGCGCGGAGTGGGCTCGGCCGCGAAGCTCGGTGGGCCAGCACTGGGCCACCTTTGCCCATCAGCCGCTTATGGGCGACTGACATCGGCGCGGCATCATGCGACATGGACCTCGCATATTGCCCGTCGTGCTGTACTTGTTCAGACGGTTGACCTTGAGTTGGTCCCTCGGTTTCGAGGGATTCCACTGGTCAATCTATTCCTGCTGTCAGTCACTGAAACGACCTGTCACATCGGATGCAACTCACCGTCGTAGTAGTCATCATCGTCACTCAGATCAGCCAATTGTTCAAAGTTGACCTTGTATCGGAGAATACCACCAATACCACCGAAACCCTTGACGAACTGGTTTCCTTCGGTAGATCGGTCCGAGACGAATTCCAGCGCAGTACCAAAGTCCTTGTAGTGCTCGGCAATCCATTCCAAGAATGACTCCTGAGTAACAACCTCCATCTCCTGGCCGGTATTCTTATCCTGGAACTTCTCGCGGCTGTCCTGCTCCTGCTGCTTGGTGGTGTGGATCAGGGTGTCGTTGTTCTCGCTGTCGCGGAGAGTGTAGCGTGAAATTTCTAGATTTTCGTAGACAATAAGGGTCTCAACTGCACCAAGCTCCAGGGCCTTGAGTGTATCTTCAATACCGTAGCAGACCTTGCCGGTGTCCTGGCTAATTTCCTCAAAGTACTTTCCAATGAGCTTCTTCTCCTGAATAAACTTGACGTTGCCGAGGGTTTCAGACGAGAGTTCGATGGCCTGGTTGAAACCGTTCTCACCACCGTACGACACATCGACAACCTTGATGACCTTGGTCGCAAGACGGTTGTCGAACATGTCGGAGGCGTTCAGGTCGTTCTTGAAATCGGCGGAACCAGCAAGAATGATACCGGCGACGTTGACCTTGTCGTTGGTGATGAAGTTCTGGACCGCCAACTCGGCAACCTTGCGGACGTAGTTGTGTCGCTTCTCCTCACGGAGACGGGCGAAACGCAGAGCAGACTGACCACCACGTCCGTGCTTCTTGGGCAGGTCGACGGAGAACTTGTGAACGATCTCACGAGTGTTTCCACTCAGAGTACCAAACAGAGCTCCATTACCATCCATAATAATGAAACCAAACTTTTGGTCGGACTCGAGCAGCTCAGCCAAGGCCTCGGTATGGAACTTGTTGTCGCAAAGGTACAGAGAGGTGTTGATGGGCTTAAATGGCTCAAAATCAATATTGACCTTTCGTTCCTTGCCTTCGGAGGTCAAGATTTCGCCACAGTAGACAACAAGCCCATTGGGGGGGACCTTGTTGTAGAGCTTGAGACGCTGCTGGGTGGAGGTAATGGCGGACAAGACGGACTGTCGGTTGACACGAGACTTGATATTGGAGGCAGTACCCTGAGGCGCTCGCGTTAGACAAAGCCTCCGAAGAGAAATGACGCCGTGCCCAAGGAATTCAACATACGTATTCTTCAGCCAACATCTTGGCGATTTGGGAGACCTGGGACTTGGGAGCTGGGCCATCAAGTTAATTTTTTGGCACTACACGTGGCTGATCCTGCCAATGCGACTTACGGATAATCAGCGAAATCATGGAGGTTCCATTTCCCCTGGCGGCCTCAAGGCGCTTGATGAGCTTCTTGACCTTCCATATCTCGATCTACATGATTTCCACACCAATTATTAGCTTGTTTGAACAACAACTCAATATGTCAAAAACAGAGGGCACGTATGAGGGGCATGGGAATCAGAGGGCGGGCAACCGTAGCGCGGGGCACACGCGGAGAGGGGCTACAATTTTTTTTTTCTCCCACACCACACACGCTGCCTCCAGGCGTATAGCGGGCAGTGTAAAAGAAACAGGCAGAGGGGTAATCGACTCACGTTCTTCTCGGCCTCGTTCGCCTGAGCGTCACTCATTTTGACAGCGGTTTGAGTATCCTCGCAAGCAAAATATAAGGTTGACCCCAGACGGAGGTGATTTGGGCGTGGAAGGGGGAGGAGAAAAGTGAGAAATGTGGTGCGGTGTTATTCAATGCCAGACGGGGCTACTGGGTGCCTAGATGGATTTTATAAATTTCCAGTAAGTACAGCTCCCATTGTTCTGCACAGGTGGTAAGGCATGAGCGCGCTGCTTATTATGTGGCTAATTGGCCTGCCTGCCACTGAGCAGAGGCACCTGTCCGACACGCTCTGTGGGGCACACTGCCGTCATAGCGGGCTGTCCTGACCAGCAGGCACCTAACTGGAACCTGCCTACTGGCATTGACCTGCTGCGTGATGGAGGCGGGTGCCTCAAGTAGCGAGCCCCCTGCCTGCAAGGCACTCCAGAGCCCAGCGCCACGGCACAGGTTTGACTCTTTTTGCTGGAAGGGGGCATGACACGCTGCCAGGCACACTTCAAGTCCTTCCTTGACGGTATGATTATTTCCCATAATATTGGGCTCAATAATAAAACAAAGGTCAAGGAAAGCACCAGTAAGATTTGCTTTGGACAATTAAAATGATTATTTCTTGGTTCCGTCATTACCTGCACTGTATTGAAGAAACCTTTCGTGCACATGCTATTATAAAAATGATAAAACTGTACGTAAGCAGCTTCCTCCAGGACATCCTTGTCAATGGACATCAGTTGAGGTCATTGCATCCTCTTCTCTCACCGCCCGGCAAAACGTTAGATTCCGACGGACCTCAACCGACGGTCGCAACACAAGGGACAGTTCGAATACATCGAACTCATTGACCCCGTGTTCCCTTCCCTGACTTCAAGCTATTGTTGATCAATAGCTGCAGCTTCTCAGGGATGGATTCAATCGCCACAGAGCTTGCGGAGACCATCCAGGTCGCATCCATCAACAGACACCCAGACCCTCGTCGCGATCACGCCCCAGCAACTGCCGCCGACGAAAGAGAACCTGTCGTCCTGGGAAGCACCAAGCATGGATACGATGGTTTAGATGAGGAGGAAGATGAGGTGGAGGACATCCCATATAGTGTGCTGCGGCCGATTCCGAGATCCCACGAGTTGCCACCTCTTCCCGATCTTCGCTTCGAACAGAGCTATCTCCGCAGCATTTCCTCCGCGGATACATGGTGGAAAGTGGCAGCAATCACTACAAGGGATCAAGTAAGTCCTCGCTTCCTAGATTCGGGACAACATAGGAAGCACCGGCTAATAGGAGCGCGACACGTCCAGGTACTAATGCCCCTAGTACAAGGCTTGCTCTACAATCTCTTTCTCTGCGGCTGGCAACAGTGGAACCGGAATGCGAGGTATCACGGCAATGGTGTTGGTGCCCGTATAAGAAGATGGTGGTGGGGAGTGAATAGTTGGGTCATACCTACGAGGCCAGCGGCCAAGTGAGAGATTGTCCTCGGTGTCCCATGCATTGTGCATTAGCTCTTTCTTGCATGGACATAACGGACAAATTAATATGTAATGACCACCACCTCCTTTATTTCAGGCATCAGATTCGATGGATTTGGATACCCGATGAGACGAATATCCATGGGTCGCATCGAGGTTTAACCCCGTCTCCTTAATGACATTCACTAAAAGCACAAGTTCGTGTTTAGGCCTGAAAGCCGATTAACGGCGTCATGAGTGAGTTGATCGACACCGAGTACAGACAAGTTCTATTCTTCCCAGTCCAGATCCTTATTCCATTATGTTAAAAATCCCAAACTCCAGACAAATAAGTACCCCACCTGCCAAGAAGATTTTCACCGTGTGGTTGTCATTACTATGTTTTAGTCCCTTCCCACCTAACCAAAAGAAAATCAAGGGCTCCCTCTGAAAGCTAGAGATGTAGTGGGCGGAGCTTGGTCCAGCTGCTTTGTCGCCGTCGTCTCTAGAATTGACTGTGTTGGAGCTGACTTCTGAGATATTGTGATCGTCTCGCTAGGAGCTGCCGCCTTCACATCAATCTCGTCTTGCAATGGTGCTTGATCCAGCGCATCCTTCATCTCTATCTGGACAGATTTAGGCGTGTTAGGGTTTAGATCAAGACGAGGCACAACTTGGCCGTTCGTCTTTTGATTTTCGTCCAATGGATCGAGAGCTGTTCGCAGCTTAGGTGGCGTAACAGAGAGCTTAATGAGAAGGCTCTGCGGTTGGTCGTCCAGATCGTCGTCAACCATGGCTTCGTCTTCATCAAAGTCGTCATCATCTTCTTCCTCTTCAGGTACATGGGCGTCGACATCATCCTCATCATCACCAAATCCTTCACTTTCGTCCTCGTCTGTCTCACTACGCACGCGGCGAGATCCAGAAGCTGCCCAGCCGTTATGGCCGTGATGAATGGCAGCCGACCGCTTCGGCCGGCCACCATGTCCCAGCGAGTTTTCCTTATCGAATTCCGGGGTGTCGCCCTTAACACTACTTGGAGCGCTTCCCTCTCCGGCAGCATTGTTGAGCCGAGTTGGTGCTCTAATCTGGCGCCCGCTTGCGGTTGTCACTGGACCCGTCTCGGCCGGTGTATTGGTGCCTGTATTACGAGCAGACCGCCTGTTCCCTGTTGAATCAGAGAAGAAAATATCCTCATCATCGGAGTATGTGTATTTGATGCGCTTCCCACGTGTCCGTCCCTCGTACGACGAAAATCCGACTTCCGGGCGCTTAAATCGCTCTTTTTGTAACTGTCTGTATTCTCGACGTTTGCGTTTCTGTCCGATCAGTTAGCATTACACGCGTGCAAGTGCAGACTATCATAGTAGAGAGAGTAGACTCTTACGTCTTCTCCGGCTTCAAATCGTGGGAGCGCTGCCCTGATCTTCTGGGCAAACTTTCTTGCCTTGGGTCCACCGTCCTTTGTCTCCAACTTCTCAGCGAGCGACTGTAGCTCTTCGATTGAACCGGCGACGCTCCACCAGGTTCGTTGGGTTCCTGAAAAATTGCTCTCGCGATAGACTCGGAAGGCTGTGTCATCCTGGCCTTCAATCAAGAAATACCGGCGTCTGTCGCCATCTGCGCCCCAGGGCTGCACCGACCGAGGTTGGTTCATATCGTCCTCGTGGCGGTTTTGTTTGTAGGATTGGTTAATTAAACCTTTAACAGTGTCCGAAGATGAGAGTGACCATAATACAAGGGTTTTAAGTAGAGTGAGCTAAGAAAACGGTCAGTATAACTGCTGAGAAGAAGATAATTATACCGGCACACACTCTTTCGGTTGGATCCATTGTGTTGAAAGTCTTCCCTCCAGAGAGCGGGCTTCTGCCTTCCCAAGAGGAGGCCCATTGGTTCTTGTGGGAAGCAATTGCGTCTTCAAGCGCCCTCCCGTAGTGACCCGGTCTGTTTAGACGATCTTATTAACATATGCGACTTTATACATCGAGGTTGTCTGCGCTCACTTGACGTCCTGCTTTCGATTCAGAAGCAGGCCGAGGACGGCGCATAGGAAATGCTCTGCTCGGTCGCCCGGAACCGGTTGAACGACATCACGTTCAATGTCCTGAGGTCCAAAGTGGGCGAGAGATTTCGGGAACGCATCGTTGAATCGGCTTCTAAACATAACAATGAACTGCGCGGCTGGTTAGCGATCCAGGGCATGCAAACATGTTGTAGGCTATGACGTTAGGACGCGAACGCGTGACACGGGCGTCGCAGCGCGCACAGCACCCTGGCTGGGTCCCCCAACACCTAAAAAAAACCACACAGTGCTGTAAAACAACCAAGCGAGAGAATACAAGGAAAATAGATAGCAGAAAACAATTATTGTAATGGGAGAAGGCATACCGCAATGTCGGCATTGTCTGCCAATACATATTCGTGTGGTGGCGACGGGGATCGTTTGCGCGGAGGCGGCGAGGGCTCTCTAGGTGGGAGCTCCGATACCTTGGGGAAATAATTGAGAATGCCTTTCTTCGACTTGGGGCCTGTAGCAAGCGACTTCTCAATTTCGTCGTCTGAGGGCGCAGGAGATAGCGATGAGAGCGATGAGAGCTCGGAAGAGTCGTCGGCCGCAGCCATGATGAACGGCTTTTGGAGATGCGGTTTGTTGCAGCAGGAAGCGCCCAGGCTCGTAGCAGGTACTTGGTAGATGTGGCGGGATGGATAAGGTAGGAGAGAAGATGTGGAGAAGGAAGGGGAAAGTCTTATTACATAGATCGGCGACGAGATTTAACATGCACTAATGAACACGCCTTTTTGGACACTGGCCAGGGTTGGAGAGCAGAGGTAGGCAAGCACGGTAGATGAAGGATTCCGCAGCTTTGTTTTTTTCTAACCTACCGGTCCCGGCCTGAGCCTGTCCGAGGGTATTTGCTGGCATGGAGGTGCGCTTCCCTCCACGTTCAATCTACGACCAGCGTTACCATGGTTCTCTGACAAACTCAGAAGAGTCAGCCCAGTAGCTGTTGACCACAAATTTGCCAACTACCTTCTGAGGGCGGCTGGAATGGATGACGCTCCACGCACGTCCGCACGACAGTCCATGCAGCATTTGCAGCATGCGTAGTCCTACCACTGTGAGGCCTCAGCACAGGCGAGAAGTGGTCCCAATAACGTTTTTGTATGGAATACCAATAAACAAGTATGCAGGGACAGATACCTCAGAGCACAAAGCCATGTCGAGGCATTGACAAAGCGGGAAACAGCAAGGTGTATCCAGCGGTCAATGGTTGCACTTGGCGGCTGGACGCGAGGTCTGAAGTGCCAGGGATGATGTAGCCAGAAAGTAATGGAACTTGAATGGCTGCCATTGGCTGGATCACCACCGCGGAAGTGCGACCAACGCATCCAGGTCTCAAAAAGCCGGCATCACATCCCCGATCCCGAACTCAAGCTGGTCCGTCTGGCTTGACGCAGGAAAGGAACTGGCATAGAAAGAACGCGATAGCTGCTGTCACGTCTTCTTTGGCCGCCAGTCAAAGACAGCCAAGAGCTGCTCGGTGGGTCTGGGTGCCACATGAATGAGGACATCATTCTCATTATTGTCGTGGAATTAACGCGACCTGAATCCAGGTTTGCTGCCGCGCTGACGTGACAACCTACACGTTGGCAGGTAAAATACATGCACAAGTTGTCTGTGTGCTTCCAGTCCTGTATCAAACATGCGCTTTACCGGGGTTGAAAAACAGATAAGGGTGATAAAGCATAGTAATAGGCAAAATGGTTTGTACCTGCCAACAACTAGTACACAGTGATTCGGGAGGAGCCTCGGAGCCTTGGTGCTCCTACTGCTCAGAAAATCGTCTGTCGTAGTAGGTTGGGGGGACCGACTCAGGGTGGGATCAAGCATTTGGACCCACACTGAGGTTTAATGTGGACGTCACGTGGTCAGGGCTCCTCCGCTAAATTTCAAGGTACCACACACAAAAAAAATATCATAGCAACTCCACGACAGGTGACCTAGACAAAACACCAAGCGGCCGTAGCCAGGTATTAACTTCCTCAACCCAACCCCAGGTTGCCACCAATACTAACCTTCAATCAACACAGCATTGACAAACAGCAGCCGCCATGGGTAGAGTCATTCGCAACCAGCGCAAGGGTCGTGGATCCATCTTCAGTCAGTACCGACCCGCGACGTCCAAAACGACGAATCTTGAATTCCACATCGAACGGGGTTGAATACTAACGGAGGGATTGCAGCTGCCAACACGCGCTTGAACAAGGCCCCTGCCAAGTTCCGCAACCTCGACTTCGCCGAGCGCCATGGATACCTGAGAGGTGTTGTCCGTGAGATCGTCCACGATGCCGGCAAGTGAACCCTTCGAAACTCGAAACCATTCAGCAATGTCCAATGGGGGCTTGGGATTGGGGCAATGGATGGCAGAGCGAATTGCTAACAGAGGTTCTGGAACAGGTCGTGGTGCTCCTCTCGCCAAGGTCGTCTTCCGCCACCCCTACAAGTTCAAGCAGGTTACCGAGACCTTCATTGCCAACGAGGGCATGTACACCGGCCAGTTCATCTATGTCGGTAAGAAGGCTGCTCTGACCGTCGGAAACGTTCTCCCTCTCGGCGAGATGCCCGAGGGTACCGTCGTCTCCAACGTCGAGGAGAAGGTCGGCGACCGTGGCAGCCTTGGCCGCACCTCCGGTAACTACATCACCATTATCGGCCACAACCCTGATGAGGGCAAGACTCGCATCAAGCTTCCCTCCGGCGCCAAGAAGGTTGTTCTTTCCGGCGCCCGTGGTATGATCGGCATCGTCGCTGGTGGCGGTCGTACCGACAAGCCTCTCCTGAGTACGTCTTCCTTGCTCTCTGATCAATTGGGTCTATGATTAAATCACTAACACTATAAACAGAGGCTTCTCGCGCTAAGCATAAGTTCGCTGTCAAGCGCAACAGCTGGCCCAAGACTCGTGGTGTTGCTATGAACCCTGTGGACCATCCTCACGGTGGTGTAAGTTACGACCAAGACACACATTCGAAATTGAGCAGGGAGACTAATCACTTATCCAGGGTAACCATCAACATATTGGTAAGGCTTCTACCATCTCGCGGTACGCTGCCCAGGGTCAAAAGGCTGGTCTTATTGCCGCCAGGCGGACAGGTCTGCTTCGCGGTACTCAGAAGACCAAGGAATAAAGCGGCTTGGTTCATGGTCTCATTGGGATGGTGTTACACTGGCTTGCTTGGAATATTGGAGGGTACTACTGAGAGCAGAAGTCTAGTAGCTCCGAGGGCAATCACTTTGACATTTGGCGCACAAAATTCGTCTCCAAACAATTTCTCAACTTGGTCCCTGTATCTGTGCTGTGTGATGAGCCTGGGAGCGAAGCTCTAAATCATCAAGGTCTATATGTTATAATGAATCGTCACATCAATGTCACAGAACTCTGAAGCTCATTACGCTACCCAAGTCAATGCAGTCCTGTGGTTATGGAATGCCTCTAAAACACTTTGAATTGCACCGCTCCGCATTTTAAATGAGGCAGCACGAGCCTCGGATTCTTGTACTTGACAAGCTATCCATTCCTGCTATCTCTTGTTACCTACATACCACAACGGAAAAAATATCACATATTGGGTATCTTGGCTGGACAATACACACTCACCTTGGCTACGAAGAATTACACTGATGTGAAGGGTAACCCCACGTGTATTTTCCGGCAAGTAGGTATCCAGTACTTGGCGATCTGCCCAAAAATCCTTAACCCGCAACGAGGTCTTCCTTGATTGCCTCATTTATTACTCTTAACAAAGTAAATCCGTGCGTCTTGTTAATATTTTCTCCAATCAACGCCGTTAGCTGGAGACGTGCGCAAACCTGGATGACTTGCCAGGAGGTGAGGAGTAGGTACCTTGTACCTCACTCACCCACAACCAAGCCAATGTAACTTTGCCCCTCCCCCTCCACCCCACCTTGTCCCAAATTATATCACTCTCTTCTCCGTCCTTCCTACATAATAAAAATCCAATTGATTTACACAGACACAATGGCTGCCCGCAAGGAATTCGCTCTTCTCTGCCTGGAGAACCCTCTCCTTGGTATGTTCACTTAATCTTGCCCCCCAAGCCTGGGTTGGGGTCAATTGGCCTTACCGCCTGATGCCCCGCCCCGCCTTGCAAAATGTTGCTTACCACTCTCCATAGACATTCAGGCTCAAGCTGACCAGGCTCTTCTGGACAAGTATGAGCTGAAGGCCAACGACGCCATTCTGGCTGAGGAGAAGCACATCCCTCTGTACGAGGAGCTTCTCAACAACTATGACGCCAAGCTGATTGCGGGCGGTGCTGCCCAGAACTCTGCCCGTGGTGCCCAGTACATCCTCCCCCCCAACAGCGTTGTCTACCTTGGCGGTGCTGGTGACGACAAGTACTCCGCCATCCTCAAGGATGCCGTCAAGCAGGCTGGCCTCCGCGTCGAGTACCGTGTTGACCCCAAGGAGAAGACCGGCCGCTGCGGTGCCATCATCACCGGCCACAACCGCAGTCTCGTCACTGACCTTGGTGCTGCCAACCACTACGGTCTTGACCACTTGAAGAAGCCCGAGATCTGGAGCCTCGTCGAGAACGCTGAGGTCTACTACATTGGAGGCTTCCACTTCACTGGTACGTCTTCAAACAGCTAGAACATTTCCTAATGTAGCACGCCATCCGCTGACCCCAGCACCAGTCTCTCCTCCTGCCATTATGGAGCTCGCCAAGCAGGCCGCTGAGCACAACAAGACCTTTGTTCTCTCTCTCTCTGCCCCCTTCATCCCCCAGTTCTTCAAGGAGGTCGTTGACGCCTCTGCCCCTTACTGGGACTACATCATCGGCAACGAGACCGAGGCCGCCGCCTACGCCGAGTCCCACGACCTCCCCTCCAAGGAGCCCAAGGACGTCGTCAAGGTCCTCGCCAACCTGCCCAAGGAGAACGGCAAGCGCAAGCGTGTTGCCATCGTCACCCAGGGCACCGAGCCCACCCTCGTCGCCATCCAGGGTGAGGATGCCATCCAGGAGTTCCCTGTCCACGCCATTGAACCCGCCAAGATCAACGACACCAACGGTGCCGGTGATGCTTTCGCTGGTGGGTTCCTGGCTGGCCTTCTCGAGGGCAAGCCCCTTGCCACCTCCATCGACATGGGTCAGTGGCTTGCCAAGCTGAGCATCCAGGAGCTCGGCCCTTCGTAAGTCAACATGCCGGTAATCCTTTCCTTTTTCCAAAAATACTGACCGATTTCCTTAGTTACCCATTCCCCAAGCAGGCTTATGGCCAATAGATCATCAGAGGAGTCAAGCTCCTAAGGGCTCCGGGGAGGGAGTCATGTATGTCGAAATGAGCACGGCGTAGAGTTATGACAAATATGGAAGACATGGAAAAGGTTTCAACAACGGCGTTTTGCATTTGAGAGAGCCCATAAATCAAGGGAACGTCTTATTCTCATAGCGGCTAGCATCCTCCACGATGCAACATTCATCTTATCAAGAAATACTTGAAAATAAAATTCTGAACGGGTTTGACACTCGAGACAACCCTCTTCTTTACCACCCGTCTCAGCGTAAGCATACTTTGAACCCCATGGCCGAGCCCAACGGGCACTGCAGACTGTCTCCAATAACGATACTACTTCGTTGTTTCACACTATTTGGTCTAATAAATCCAGCTCCTGTAGGATCGCACAGCTCCTGAAGAGCTATCGCGCCAAAAAGGCAGAAATCCATCGGTCCAATATAGTAGGTAGTCAAGATCTCGGAACAAATGCTCACTCTAGCAAACTTTTGATGAAGGCCAGAGGCATGATGTACATGTGAGTTGAGACTCCCAAGCCAAGCACAAAAATAACTTGTAACATCTTGCTGCAAGGTCCAGTCATCCTCCTGGACTTGACTTGAGCCAAGGCCAAGGTTGTAGGCAAGACTCCGTCGTGCACCACCTAGTAGCCGATGCTGGTGCGTAGGGAAAAAATAGCAGTTCTGGGCGTCACGAATTATGTGAACGCTATAACCGTGGCACAACTACTCCTCACCCTGAAATGCTGACTGCAAGACCTTTGCGTTGTAGTTCCATGCTCTGTTATCCATTTGAAGGCGGCGAGCCGACGAAGAGGTTGGTTGTTCTCGGGAACCTCCATTTTGAATTCGATTGCTTTCCATAGAGCCACTACCGTAAACGGGCATACCGGCTTGAATAAATCCATTGCTTGGCGTACCTTGATAGAGACTGCTGACATTTGTGAAGTTGCTTGAAGACGTAATTCCCATATCGGTACCTAGGGAGGCTCCCCAAGTTGAACCCAAGGACGCATTCTGATCCTGTGGCCACCCAGAAAGAGATGCCTGCCGAGGGGCAGGCGAGTTGGAGAACGCCTGGAGCAGCTGGCTCCTATGAGCCTCCTCTGCCAAGGGGTGTGAGTTTCCAAGTCCACTACCAGCTCGAGACTGCAGACTTCTTGGAGATCGCTGACTCGGTGATCGGAAGGGATCATCAAGACTTTCTCCGGCAGGGACCGAAGCACGAGATGAGTGGCCTGGGCTAAGATGGATGGGTAGAGTTCCGTTGCCCAGCATTGAAGTCGATCGAAGCATTCCTGAGGAAGTAGGCTTTGGGTCCCAGCTAGCCCAATGCATGGGCGCAAACCTCCCAGAAGTTGATGCGAACGAGCTTGGGTCTGCCTCAGGGTCGACCTGCTGCTCAGGTTCGTATTTAGCCAGGAGCTCTTGCGCGATTTCGTTGGCAGTTGCACTGTGCATGCCATAAGATGTCTCGTCCATATCATGATCGGATTCTGGAGACGGGCAATCGATGAATGGAGAAAGCATGTTCACAACAGTCTTGTCAGCATCGTCCAGCCCGTTAATCGCTGCAACATCAGCAGCAGTCTTGGATGCAGGTAGAGGGCTGGAGCTGGCAGCCAGAGCCTGCCCACGTGGTGAAGACTGGCTATTCGACGCCCCGACATCTAAACGGGGCAATCTCTTTGCATGCGCTTTCTTCTCTGGCGGAACATCTGAAGTAACGGGAGCAGAGGTAGTTGGAGCAGATTCAGTGGGTGCAGAGTCAGCAGGCGCAGAGTCTGGAACCTCACTCCCTTGTTGAGAGTCTGGAATCTCACTCCTTTGTTGAGAGCCTGGGACTTCACTCTGTTGCTGAGAGGCCGGGACCGGTTGATACACGAATACAAGCCAGCCGTCAAAAACCTGAGTGGCTATCGGGACAGCTGGGTCTTCAGTCAAGAAATAAGCACAACGGAGTGTATCCAACATTCTGCCTGTGACTTCACGTGCCGGGGGGAGACGCTCGTCCTTGGATTGCAAATGAAGCTTCACTTTGCCGTTATCGTCGAGGTGGGATCTGCATGGTTCCGGGACCATATCCTCGCCGAATGATTTTAGGCCGCGTATCTCCACGTCTTCGTCAAGGAGATATGGGCAGGTAGCCAGATCCGTCCGCGAGTATGTTGCCGCCGCTATCAGGGTAATGACAGTTGCCAAACTCTTGACCAACGCGACCATAGAATTGCTCAGCGCGCCCGTCACAGCGAAGACCTCGCGGCGATGAGTGGCAACCCAGATACAAGAAATTCGCAGAATTGGGAGAAGAGCATTAACAGTTGGTAAGTCCGGAATCGCCAGACCTCCTTCGGCCGATGCTTCTTCGTTCTGGGACAGGGACTGCTTGAGCTCATCTGCGATGATGTCGCACAACTTTTGAATAAATCGGATGTTGAAATCCAAAGAATATTGCCAAAATCGGAAGGCAGTCTCTGATTTGGAATCTGAGGTTGTTAGATCCGAAGACGAATTGTTTTCCGGTTCAGGAGGCTTACCGTTATACTCAGCGGAAGAAATGCAGTATGCAGCAATATTGACAAGTGACATCTTGAACAAAACGGGCGCAGTGGCGGGATCTTTAGCAGCCATTGCCAGGCGGTGGATGACCTCTTTATCAAGCTCAGTGTGCTGGGGTGTGACCGCCTCTCCCTTGTAGAACAGCGCTTGTAGTCGAACAAACCAAATGATGAATGCATCGTTGGGCGTGGATACTGATGGTTTGTTCCTCGAATTGGAGTTAGTAGCCTGGAGGCCCTTGAACTTGGATTCGAGATTCGACTTGGCGTTCGGATGAGGGTCCTTGACAGCCCACGCACGGTAAAAATGAT